TCTTTTTTTTCGTTTTTCCACACAGGGTTTCTCTGTGTAGTTTTGGTGCCTGTCCTGAATCTCACTCTGTAGACCAGCCTAGCCTTGAAGACACAGAAATCTGCCTGGCTCTGCCTCCCATATGCTGGGGTTAAAGGCATATGCCAATGCTGTTCAGCCGTTATAGTCGTTCTTAGGGAATAAAGTCAACATAATTTCACTCACAAGTTATGTTATATTTTAATAATAAAATCATCAAGATGATATTGTAATTAACAACAGATGCTTGCTAGTTTTGAAACTGAAGTACTGGGATATTTCCCGCAATAAAAGATTTGGTAGATTCTATTTATTTCATTGAGCACCTGGGAAAAGAGATAAAGAAGATTTCACTACTAGCCATCTTGTTTATTATAAGGAGAAAGACATAAAACCAAACTTTAAAGGCTTTTGCTTTCCAATGTCCATTATGTTTGTACACATACATAATGGTCATAGGGTTGCAACAAGAAGTTTCAATCAGAGTATGAAAACCATAAATGTTTATTCATTATTTTTGTTGAACATATAGTGTGACCTAATTTATCAAAACATTTTAAAATAATTTATAGAAAATAAATTACATGAACGTATTTTGCCAACAAGGGTTGGCATACAAGGGCTTTTCTCTGAAACTATGACTTAGATAAGTAAAGAAAATTTCCTAACTGAAAGACAGGTACAAAATCTATTTTAAATAATATTTTATTTTGTGTGAATAACATTTTAGCTTTTTGCTCCCACATATGCTTATGAAATAATTGAGTACCTGGTGCCTCTGGAGGCAAGCAGAGGCTATGAAAATATCTAGAAGAAAATTTACAGAGTTGTATGATGTCATATGTGGGTTTATGGCATCAAAATTGTTCCCCTGAAAGAGCAGCCACTTCTATTAACTGCTGAGCTATCCCTCTAGTAACACACAGTCTGTTTTCATTATCCCCTCTCTCTTTAACGTAACATTTTGTAAGAAAACTGACTGCCATCATTAAAAGGGAAGACAATTAAAATAAGTTGTTATTCAGGTCAATTGCAAAGATATAAAAATGAACATACAACTTCAGCAAAAAATTTCAGGATAATAATTGACTAATTACTTGCAATTTATAATCCCTTGGGTCACTGTGTGTCTTCATGCACTTTCATGGAGTCTCCCTTATATATACATTGGCCACCTCTCAAATGGATCTCATGTTTTGTGCAGCATTTTCATACACACATGCATACTTCTGTCTAGTTATTCAGTCATTTTCTCCTCAATAACTCTGTATCTTTTAGCCTCATACATCTTATATTTTTGTGTAGAAGGAAGAAAATAACTTTGCAGTCCAGTCGAACAAATGAAAGCACACACACACACACACACACACACACACACACACACACACACACACACACTTTTATCTCAATTGAACTTGTCCAAGCTTGAAAGAAACTATTTCAAATGTAGATGTAATCTAGAAAACCCAACATTGTATAGAAAGAGTAAGTGTTTAATACACAAAATGTATGAAAGAATAAAAGCATCACATTTTGTCTTAGAAGTATATGCAATTTTGGATCAGTAAGGCATATATTATTAACTAAATAGTCCAGTAGATAATGTATATAATGTGAATTTCTTATAGCAATCTAAGTCAAATTTTAGTTCAAAGTGCAGATACAAATAAAAGTTGGCAACTGATTCTAATACAACAAACACATTTAAGAAAGACAAACTAAAGCTCTGGCAGTGACTGATGTTTAAATTAAATTTTAAAAATGTGAATTTTGAAGCACAGCTCTTGTAAAATGTCAACATGCAGCCTAAGAGCAATTGCCATCAACAGATAATGAATATAAAGATGAGTGTGAGGGAGAATTAACAATGTATTTGCAGAAAAGAATTCACAAAATGTGGTAATGATATACTTAGGAAAGCAAATTAAATCTCATATTATCTTACTAGTTGATTTATTTACTACAGGTGAAATGTAACAGATATACACTAATGCTTCAAAAGGAAATCATTGGTAAAAGAGCAAAACAATGAGAAAACTTCAATAGTAGCCAGCTTAATAAAAACTGCTGTCCATTCCTCATTGCTTTTATTTGGACTCCATTTAAGTCTGAACACTGATTGATGCCCCCAAAGTATCTACTGCATCCCACAGATTAACTACATAGCTTGCAAATTAACTTTAAGATGCAAATGAACAAAGAAACATGTAGTCACCAAATGTGTTGTTGTTTTTTTGTCAACCTGACACAAGTACATACTTGTGGGAAGAGGGAATCTAAATTAACAAAATGACTCCATGAGAATGCCCTGTAGGCAAGTGGCGCCTCCACTCAGAAGGTTGTCAAGGATGTATATAAAAGAATGAAGTAAGTCGTGAGAAGCAAACTAGAAGCAAGCAAGTGCTGTTCCATGGCTTCTGTTTCAATTCACACTAAGTTCCTGCTCTACTTTGAGTTCCTGCTATGACTTCCTTCAGTGATGGAACTATAAGATTGAATAATCTTTTCCTCTACATATTACTGTTACTTTTCCTCATGGTTTTTATTACAGAAATAGAAACTCTAGGACAGCACAAACTTCATAAATAAAACTGTGTTATTATTGACTGTGTGTTACTAGTTAATAGTGTTATTCTGTATTATACTGTAACAGAATAACACTATTAACTAAACATAATCATTGCCTGTAGGCTTCCTAATTCTGTAAGCTGCTGTTCATTTTATTTCTCTTCTTTTACATATAAAATGTTAAACTGCTGTGGGATGTTCTGTTTGGCAAATGTGTTGCTGATTAGTCAATAAATAAAACACTGATTGGCCATTGGCTAGGCAGGAAGTGTAGGCGGGACAAGGAGGAGAATAAAGCTGGGAAGTGGAAGGCTGAGGGAGAGAGACACTGCCAGCCGCCAGGATGACAAGCAGCATATGAAGATGCCGGTAAGCCACGAGCCATGTGGCAAGGTATAGATTAATAGAAATGGATTAATTTAAGCTGTAAGAACAGTTAGCAAGAAGCCTGCCACGGCCATACAGTTTGTAACCAATATAAGTCTCTGTGTTTACTTGGTCGGGTCTGAGTGGCTATGGGACTGGCAGGTGAGAGAGATTTGTCCTGACTGTGGGCCAGGCAGGAAAACTCTAGCAACATTAGACCATTTTCCAAGTTCTACTATTTATGTCAAATTTCACAGAAAAATCAAAAGAAAACAATCACTCATTAGCTGATTCTTTAGGAAGCCATCAGATTCCATGAATTTTGCGCATGTGTCCAGGATCCAGGGAAACTCTTTTTATCCAAGAATAGTTTGACAATAGTTACATTACTTTTCTGGTGCTCCATAAATATGCCATTACACTATAATCTAATTAATCACACTCAAATCATTCATGTACTTTCTTTGTGTATGTGCTTTTGTACATGTCTATGATGTGTGTGTTTTGCATGTCATGAATTCACTCACACATGCAATTATGGTCACTCTCCTATGGAGATCTTCATCCATTATACATGACTGGTTTTTTTATACCAATTTTTCTCTCTCAAAAAACTGACCCACATCTCTAGACAAATAATGACCCTCATACTTCACCCATATTTAACATCCACCATATACTAATTATAAGCATGCTTATTTAAAATTAGTTTTTTTGAGGGAATTGTATGTTTAACTAATATAAGTATTATTCTAGAAAATAATTACTAAAAGTCCATTATGATTCTATTTTTACTTTTAAACAAAATATTCTAAGTACACGATAATACCGTAAGTTACATAAGTGGAGAAAAAGACCAAACAAGGAAGAACAAAAGAAATGAAAGAAGACAAGAAATCTGTTTGATATCAAAAAAAAAATTTAAAGGAGTTTAAAAATATTTTAACAAAATTTGTTTTTGACACATTATGTCAATATGTATCATTTATGTTGTAATTATATTGTTTCATAGAACAATATTATCTCATAATCAAATCAGAATGGCACCCCTAATTTATAATTGGTATGGTAAGTAAAAAAATCAGGAAAAGTGCAATGGGAAATATATTATACACTCAATGGAAAATGATTTCAAATTTCTATAAATAAGTTTCAAAATATGTTAGCATATTTTAAAATGATCATGACTAAATAAATTATTTATCATTTTAAACAGATTTTTAAATTAAATTCGACTGTAATTGTGCTATCCACATTTTGTCAGACTTAATAAAAGAATTTTTATATCCATAAATTCCCTTTACTTCAAAGTTATTTTTGATCTCCAAAGTAGTTGATAACGTTTTCCCATTGAAATCATCTCTTATTCATTCAATACATTATTGACTTTAATGGCAACAATGATGAAAAGGAACTTGAAATGAGCAAAGATGCAGGTAAATGTTTATGCACTTTTTTAAAAAATATTCCTTGTTCTTGATGGCTACAGCAGTTTTTATTGTACAAATTATTTCTTTTAACTCGTTATGCATATCTTATAGAATTTATTAATCTACTGAATATAAACATCTAAACTTTTTAAACATAATTTGAAGGCTTATAGGAAAATTGCTTTGCAATACAGGGTGACAAATAATAAAAATATAAATTTTAGCTCAATTTTACTTGAATGTTCAAGTTTGAAATTAAATTCATTTCAGATATAAATGAAACCAAGGAAAAACAGCATTATATATACAGAAGTTTGTATTTCATACATACAGTGTATGCAACAATACAACCATCACATTATATGACAGAAGTACAAACAATTTTGAAGCACTAATAAAGTACTAATTAGAGTTCACTAGAAAAAACTTTATAATTTTTCTTCTAATTTTACTTTATAAAATATTATATTACATGATTCTGCAAATACTTTACTTAAAAATTTTGTCACAGGAAAGGTTAATATGGAAATTAAACCAATGTTTTACCAAATGTATACTCAAAAATTTTAATCTATTGTCATTGTTAATTAAGCTATGATGTAAATTAATATGCAATACCTTCTGGAGACATCTCCGGAACAGTGGCTTCATAGGGTTCATATAGGAATTTGGGTTCATTATCATTGATATCCAAAACTCTGATGACAAACTCAGACTCAGGTTCCACAGCCTTTCCAGTGATGGTGTCTGTTACCTGGGCTCTCAGGATGTAGAGGGATTGTTCCTCTCTATCGAGCTTCCGGATGGCAAATATGTCACCTGTTCGTTCATCAATGCTGAAGCTTCCAGCTCCTGTGCCCAGTAGATTGTACTGGAAAGAGTTGTTTCCATTGTCTAATTCAGATCTTAGCTGCAAGTAAAGATAGACAACTCTATTTCTGAATATATGCAAATTCAACTTGGTATTCATAATTTTCATGTATTTTAATCAGTTTCAAGTGAATAATTCTACATCATTCTTTTTATTATTATTATCATTGGTTTTTTGAAAGAGTTTTTCTGTGTAGTCCTGCATGTATTGAAACTGACTCTGTAGAATAGGTTGGCTTTGAAATCAGAGATCCACCTGCCTCTGTTTCCCTAGTGCTGGGATTAAATACATGAACTACCCCCACCCACTTTATAATTCTTCATCATGTCAACTGAGGTAAAATATTATCATATGTATAACCATGTCAGTAATGGAGAGGTTCCTGATTTCCAATATAATTAAGTAGCAAGATTTTATTATTTTAAACAAGTAAGTCTAATTAGTTTAGACTTATTTATAATTAGACTAATTATAATTAGTCTAAAATTACATTATTTATAATTAATCTGATTATAATATAATATTATTTATAATTAGAATAATTAGACTTATTGGACTTAAAAATAATTCTAATTAGTTGATACTAATTAGTTTAGGATTTTCAGGCTGGAGAGATGTCTCAGTGTTTGAGAGTCCTGGCTGCTCTTTCAGAGGATCGGGTTCAAATACCAGCACCCACATGGTGGCTCACAACTGTCTATAACTCCAGTTCCAGGGGATTCAATGACTTCTGGAATTCATAGCCACCATACATGCATGTGTTACAAATACATTCATGCAGACAAATATTTATGCATATCACTAAAAATAGACTAAGTATATAACATGCAGAACCAGTCATTTATGTGTCATAGCCACGTATATGATTCACCTGTAGATATCTTAGAAAAAAAAAGACCAGAAAAATTTAATTTGTGTCTTGCACACACAGGCACATATAGGAAGGTTTATAATATTTGTAGTTGAATACATTTATATATATGCTTTGCAGCTAGGATAGATAAAGTGTTCATGGATTCTGAGGACCAGGCTAACATGTCACTCTCCCAAATAGTCTAAAAACAGTAAGTGAATTCTGAAGTAGTCACCCTTTGTACCTAATTAAATTTTACTGCCACCTAACTGCAGGTAACTTATTTTGATACATCTATTGAGAGCAAGAGAGTTACAGAGAAGGGCATGCTATTGTAATTACGTTTGTTTAAATTAAATAAAATAAGAGTAAAAAAACAAATACAGAGATTGGAGAGGTTCTGTCTCATTAAGGAATTTTTTTTTTAAATAATGTTCTCAAAGTGAAAACAATCATTTTTTTTTTCATTTGAACTATACTAATTAAATGATGTGTGTAGGCTGCTGAAATTCCCGAGCTGGTAAAAGAGATGGAATTAATATGCTTAGTTAAAAATGAGTGAAGGTAAGTCAATAGATACTTAGCATAGCAGCATATCAAGCTGAGTACTGCTGATAAATGGCATTTGACTCTGTGGTTGCTTTGATCCATTTCCACAAATAACCTAATTACATTTCTTAATGCTAATAAATGGATATAACACATTCATGAAAAGACAGAAAGAGAAGTTTGAAAACTGGACTTCCCTCTTCAAGTTTTGAGTTGTGTTTCAAATTCAAATTTATTATTGTGCTCATGTTTGGTAATTCCTAATGGCTCCCTTAAATATGTGTAAATCATCAGACTTTCCTAACCCATTCACATCACATATTTATGTAGCCATCTACTGTAATTATTCCAGAAAATAAGTACCCGTCCAACATGTTGTCTAGTATCCATTTCCTCTGGTACAACGAATTGGTTCCACACCCAGCCACGCTTAGCTCTTCCAGGAAATGGGGTTTCTTTCTGAGCCCTCCCAGCTGGCAAGTTCTCTGCAACTTTAAGGTAATACCAAAGGAGAGGAATCACCAACATCCAGTGTTTCAGGAAACAGCAATTCATTGTTGTGTGTGTTTGGATTCTAAGCATTATTCTGCAGAAGAAAAGGAATGATGCAAACAAAATGCATTTGTTTCTCAATACTCCTTTATAATCTTAAGTATCCTGTATATTCCTAAAACACAGAAAACAGAATGAAAATTGACATTAAAAAATATTTTCTCACATAATTACTATAGACAGGTTACAACATTTGCAGCTGGGAATAAGGGAATAAAAAGACATTCAATTTATCTTGCAATTAAGCTAGTTAATTGTATTTTGTAGCTCAGCAATGATCTTATTTGTGATGCTCTGAATTTCAGCTCAAGCACCATTTGTTTTAAATTGCACTCATAAATCTGCTGGAGGGTTGCAGTATTCCTTTAACAATCTCTTTGATCGACAGCTGACATTGAGATAGATCCAATTGTGTTACAATTTAACTAGCTTACTTCCTTCTTTATTTCTATCTCAAGAAAACTCCAGCTAAGTGATTAATGCAACAATCAAGCCAGGAGATAAAAAAAAAAAAAAAAAAAAAAAAATCTTGCCGGGCGGTGGTGGCGCATGCCTTTAATCCCAGCACTTGGGAGGCAGAGCCAGGTGGATCTCTGTGAGTTTGAGACAAGCCTGGGCTACAGAGTGAGTTCCAGGACAGGCTCCAATGCTACACAGAGAAACCCTGTCTCGAAAAAACCAAAAAAAAAAAAAAAAAAACTCTTCCTTTCACATCCTAGAAATAAGATTTACCATACAATTTCTCATTATGATATTATGACAAATAAAAGTAATTCAAAATAAATTTCTAACCTGAGAGATTTAGAAGTTAGTGAGACTGGTGTTACAAAGCACTTTGACTAAACTGTTAATGCAAAGTTGTTTACTCTTTGAAAATTAAATAATTAGTGACTGTAAAGATGGCACTGTGATTGAAAATGGAATAATGAGGGGGAAAAGCATTCTTATCACATCAAATAAATGACATTGACCATGGTCTCCTATTCCTTGTTCTCCCTCTCTGTTGTTGATCCAGCTGGGATCTCCCGCTCCCCCAAGCTCTCTTTCCCTCGACCCTCGCCTTTCAATACCCCCACTCATGTCCAGGCTGTTCATGTAGATCTCATTCCATTTCTCTGTCATTGGGCGATCCCTGTGTCTTTCTTGGGGTCCTGTTTTCCGGGTAGCCTCCCTGGTGATGTGAGTAGCAGACAATTCATCCTTGTTTCATGTCTAGTATCCTGCTATGAGTGAGTACATACCATGTTTGTCTTTCTGAGTCTGGGTTACCTCACTCAGGATGATTTTTTCTAGATCCATCCATTTGTCTGCAAACCTCATGATGCCATTGTTTTTTTCTGCTGAGTAGTATTCCATTGTGTATATGTACCACATTTTGTTTATCCATTCTTCAGTTGAAGGGCATCTGGGTTGTTTCCATGTTCTGGCTATTACAAACAATGCTGATATGAACATAGCTGAACAAGTGCTCTTATGGTGTGGTTGAGCATTCCTTGGGTATATGCCCAAGAGTGGTATAGCTGGATCTTGGGGGAGATTGATTCCCAATTTTCTAAGAAAGCGCCATATTGATTTCCAAAGTGGTTGTACAAGCTTGCATTCCCACCAGCAGTGGAGGAGAGTTCCCCTAGCTCCACATCCTCTCCAGCATAAGGTGTCTTCAGTGTTTTTGATCTTAGCCATTCTGACAGGCGTAAGGTGGTATCTCAGAGTTGTTTTGATTTGCATTTCCCTGATGATTAGGGATGATGAGCAATTCCTTAAATGTCTTTCGGCCATTTGAGTTTCCTCTGTTGAGAATTCTCTGTTTAGTTCTATAGCCCATTTCTTAATTGGACTGTTGGGCATTTTGATGTCTAATTTCTTGAGTTCCTTATATATTCTGGATATCAGTCCTCTGTCAGATGTGGGGTTGGTGAAGATCTTTTCCCATTCTGTAGGCTGTCGCTTTGCCTTGTTGACTGTATCCTTTGCTCTACTGGCTGAGGGGTCCACACTGGATCAGGCCCCCCGAATGGGTGAGACAGTTGATTGGCTTGATCTGTTTGGGAGGCATCCAGGCAGTGGGACCAGATCTTGTGCTCATTGCATGAGTTGGCTGTTTGAAACCTGGGGCCTATGCAGGATTGTTTGGCTCGGCCTGGGAGGAGGGGACTAGACCTACCTGGACTGAGTCTACCAGGTTGACCTCAGTCTGTGGGGAAGGCTTTGCCCTGGAGGAGATGGGAATGGGGGGGGGCGTTGGGGGGAAGGTGAGGGGGACGGGAGGGGGGGAGAACAAGGGAATCCGTGACCGATATGTAGAACTGAATTGTATTGCAAAATAAATTAAAATAAATTAAAAAAAAAATGTTAAAAAAAAAAAAATAAAAAAAAAAAAATAAGAACGCTTAAAAAAAAAAAAAAAAAAAAAAAAATAAATGACATTATTAGACAACAAATATAAGCTGATGGATCAGAGGAAATATGTAAATTGGAAATTGGATATGAATGCTATTGTCCATTAACTACTAAAACATGGCAGCCTATTTCCACTACTCAGAACCCCATAAGCCTAAGGCTAGTCTCTCCAACTCTGACAAGACAGTCACTCTCAGCTTCCCCACATCTGCACAACATCTGCAGAGTGCTTTCATGCATCTAAATTGGATTTACTCATTAGGCTTTCTTGAAGAAAAGTACTGCAGTGAATTCTTTTAAGAATTTAACAAGAAAATGATTAGAAAAGTCACAGCCTCTCAGGTTAGAAGCTTTTTGGCATGGTCTTTCTGTGAATACTCTAAATTTATTTTTGAACACTTTCAGAGAGAATATTTATATCTTTGGCTCTTGTTAAGAAGGGTTGTTACAAAACACTTAATTAAGAAAGAATACAGGGATTCTGTGATTCGTCTGTAGTCCTTTCAAGAAGCTGTATTATTGTTATGCATTTACTTAATGAAGGTCAGCAAAAAAAAAGTTCAGCTTGGGGAAAAGAAGGATGAATTTCATCCTTAGATTTTAGTTTCAAAATTTGTGCTGTATTTTGTTGAAAATTGTGTGTGTGTGTGTGTGTGTGTGTGTGTGTGTGTGTGTGTGTGTTAGAGATCTAACCAAGAAATCTTGTGCTTCATAAATAATTGAAGTGTTACTACTGAGCTTCAATGTGGTTCCTAGCTTAATGGTTAATACATAGACAGACAGACAGATGATAGATAGATACAATAGCTCTGATAGAAAGAATAAGTATAAGTAAGTGATGAATATGATTTGAACACAAGAATTACATTTTGTGTAACTTGGAAAATCACCACCACAGTTAATATGAAAGTACAAGTGTCATATTTAAGTAAAACTTTTTTCTGTTAAGTCTATATTTTGATACTTTCTGTAAATTTAATTTTTATTTTATTATTTATAGCATTCAATGTAGTGAGTGAGTGTGTGTGTGTGTGTGTGTGTGTGTGTGTGTGTGTGTGTGTGTGTGTACATACCACAGCACACATGGGAAGTCATTGAAAATTTTTGGAGTTTAATTCTCTTCTACAATGATGGGTTTTAGGAATCAAATCATGCAATCATGCTTCACGTCAAGTTCTTCTGCCCGTGAAGACTTTAGGACAACCAAATATCCATCAGGTGGCAAATACAAAATATTCAAGCATTTTGAATCATGATTTCAATGTGTTTGGATGAACAGTGTGTTATGTTTCTCTGCTTTCTTTTAACATCTTCTTTTGCTATTTTGACATTAGTTTTCTTTGTACTTGTGTGATGAACTAAGATTACTTCAGTCTATGTTTTTTCCCTATTCTAAATTTCAATAGCTGTGTCCTCTGCCATGATTTGATATATTTCTTTACCATGAATATTTCATAAAATACCAGAGGCTTGAATAAATGCCACTTAATGTTTTTAAAAATTAATCAGGATAAATTAGGTCAGTCTCAAAAAAGAAAACAACATTTTTTTTTTTCATTTGTAGGGGTACGATATTACAGACAAATAACTTTATGTACTAATACCGTACTACCTAGGGCAAAGTAAGTAATAGAAACAGAGAGTGGACGTAAGGGAATGTATTGTGGTGGTGGGGAATATACTCAAAGCTCATTATATATTTGCAGAAAAGTATCTTCATATAGCCCTGATTATAAAATATGAAGCTTTTAGCATATAAGAAAATGCTGATAGTGTGATTCTATCATTTTTACAAATACTATAGTAATAAGCTGTAAACAGATATTTGCTGGCCTGACCACCTGTTCCAAATGCCTGGCAGTCACCTTCCAAAACACCACATAGAGGCTTATATTAATTCTGAATGCTAGACTAATAACTCAGGCTTGTTACTAGCTAACTCTTACCTTTATATTAACCCATTTCTATTAATCTATATATTGCCATGTGGCTCATGGCTTTACCTGTCCTCTAGCATGTCTTGCTTCCTGGGTGACTGGCTGGTGTCTGTGCTGACTGCCCTTTTTCTTCCTATCATTCTGAGTGGCTTTCCCACTTTACTGTCCACCCAGCTACTGGCCTGTCAGCTTTTTATCAAACAATGAGAGTAATATATTTTCACAGTGTAGAAAAGGATTGTTTCACAGAAACAATATTTTTGTTTTCTAAGATTTCTACATAATTGTATGTTCTACATTTACAATGAATTATTTACTTATGACCCTATTTAGTAAATTTTGAAATTACATTGTCTAGGAAATTCTTAAATAATGATTCCTCCAAAAAATACATTAATCTACAAGTAAACATTATATCCAATGACACAACACCACAATCCTCACAGTAACAAACAAGAGTGGGGATTGGGGTATGTAAGCGATTGAAGCCTCAAGATGTCATACAATAGGAAGTACAGAATATCTGCTTTGATTTAATTGCTATGAATTTTATAACAGTAAAAAAACAGTTCATTATGGAGAACATTAATAAAACAGGTTCAGGCCAAAAAGGAAAAGTACCTTTAACATACATAGCCTCTATAAATAAATTAAAATAAAAGTCTCAGTAAACAATTATCTTTTGATGTGTAGACAGAGGTTAGGCTAATCTTACTAAAGTTCATTGATAAAGCTCACACTACCAAGTTTATTAATAAAACAAAAGACCATTTTAGTA